TGCTGTCTTTCGGCTGCCCATTTGGATGAAGAATAGGAGAAGAAAGGAAATTTGAAAGTGGAGTCGAAAAGAAAATGGAGAAGTTCGGTGGTCTAAGGTTGCAAAGAGATTGAGAGGATGCACGAACGCCACTGGTTGCGACACCCAACCGTATCACTCAGTGTCTCTGACCATCGGTGACCATCATCCCGAGGTCCCCAGCCAGGTAGCTTAACAAAACCTATGTGACCCAGTCTCCTGGTTAGGTTTTCATACCCTCGTACCAGGTCTTAGCTTGACCACCCTTGGTTTTTACCACTCGGTATCTGCTTCGGTGAACATCGCTCGCCGTGGTAACCTACCTGGTGACATGCGTAGGCGAACATCGCTCGCCGTGGTAACCTATCTGGTGACATGCGTAACACATGTCCCAACCAACATAATCTATGGTGGTCGACCACTTGCTCCAGTGGGCGACCGCGGATACCCAAAACTCTAACCTCAGCATTGCTCATCCGGCTACCCCCCAGATTCGTGCAATGCTGCGTAGACAGCGGTGTTCAAACAGGTAGATATTGTACTCAGTAACACGTCTGAGTTGTTTCTTATCCTTTGGATTCCCGTCAACAGTCGATTGTGTGGCGTAAACCACTGTTGTAAGGAATCGTCATAGACGAAATATTGGAAAACACACGTAGTGGTCTCCAAAACCTAGGTATTAAATGGGCAACTGGGGGAAAGCTGTACGATTTGGAGTGTACCGATGACATCGTCTGTCTGTTCGAATGTACGGAGGGCACGCAAAGTGCACGCGATAAATTAACAAGTGTTGTTGCCACATTCCGTAATGTGCTTTGCACCTTGTGTGTGCAAGGTGATGCTACAAGACTGGGTGTCGGCTACTCACGGTTTAAAGCTAAACGGTGAAGAATTACCTATAGTGGATTGCTTTTCCTACTTAGGTAGTTGTGTGACAAATGACGATAGTGTAGCAAAGGAGACAACCGCCCGCTCTTCCAAGGCTCGAGCAACGTAAGCAAGACTGAATGAATTTTGGCATAGACATGGCCTTTCACTGGAGTTAAAGGGTTGTTTTATTGTGCTACCGTTCGTTTAGTTCTGCTGCATGATTGCAAGAATTCGAATTTGGGAGTAGAAGATATCCGTCGATTAGAAGTTTTCGATTATGGGTGTTTACTTAGTTTATCCCACGTAGGATGGAGCGAATGGGCTATTAATCTGGAGGTTTATTAGGGATTAACTTGCTAGCTCATTGCATTCAGATTAGAAGGCCTCGCTGGATTGGGCATGTATTGCGTATGCTCGGCTGTCGTCTGCGGCACCGGACTTTGTTCGCTGTAGCTTCTCCGGGCTGGAGGTCAACAGATGCTGGGGAGACGAGACCTGGAGAAGTGCCCAGAGCAATTAGGTAGAGTATGTATCTCACATCTTCCAGGTTTGGTGTTCCAAAAGATCTTGCAACAGGTTGATTGGAGGCAACAAACCGACAGTAGTGGTGGTCCTTTCATTTCTTATCAGTCTAGAATACTTGAAACGGTTTGTATGCACACTTAGATTGCGTACTCTGTCTTTCATAGAGATTCACCTTCTCCCCCCTCCCTCAACATAGATCCTATCTCTGGTCACCTTACATAGTACCACTAATTGTGACAGCGATCGGTGAAGTTCGCTTCGCCGTACGAAGATTATAATGATTTCCCGTTTGTGACTGGTTATTATATTGATTTGTTTCCTATGGCAATGGCGCAGAATAAACGGTTTATTACTGCGTATGTGGAGAAATCCTTAGCTTCTGCTTTCGAAATATAAAGCGTGTTAGGCCTCACGGTGTTGATCCACCCGCTCCCTCATTGAAAAGTAGCCGTTATACCACCGCGAATCAATCAGTCATAAGTTTATGGAAACCAGTGGTAAACTTTCGAAACAATGAGAAGAACTAACGAGAGTACAACGACTACAGCCATGTACATGCTCTATGCGTCAGTGAAGGTGATGACCTGCATTTACTTCTCTAGTATTGAATGCTTACAGGAGCTCAGCTGGCTGATGGATTGGGTATTATTTTGAAACGAGGGGCAAATTTAATACCAGTCTCTCATTTCCGTCCCTCAAAGAATGTTTATTTGTGCATTTAGGACAACAGATAATCCGGTTGGCTTCTTCCAATAAAGTCCAAGTACATCGTAGAACTTGTGATTGGCACTGCCGCCAAAATCCCACGTAGCCCTAACCTTGGAGACTTTTGGAGAATGTCATCGAAGTCTANAGCGTGTTGTTTCACGACAAAAGCCACCCTGTAAAGGTCGGAACTCTCGATCGACCCGCAGTGACAGCCTATAATCAACGTATAATTCAGTTCAGTTCAGTTTGGACAGCCATTAACCATGCATTATCGTGCAACATCTGGGTTCGTTCATTGCATGATTTACGTAACCGGGCTATTAATACCCACTCCCTCTATGTCTAATGATCACGTGATGCGTTGACTACTGGCATCAAACAAACTTATAACACCTCAACGGGCAATATGTTTGACCTTTCTGGTGTATGCATGTGTATATCGCGCATGTCTGAACCCAGACGATGTGAACCAAAGCTGAAACGATTAACCATCACCCTATCTTAATCCACCACGACGAGACTGCACCTAGACGTGGTTTGATGACTCGTGCGCCTCTGACCCAATGAGCTACACAGGATGGCTTTTTTCAAGCAGAAGGTTTAATCATATCTGGAAGAAGTAGAGAGNTCTCCTTGTCCAGGTTGGGGGTTCGACTAGGACTTGCGTTTCAGTCAGTAAAATGGTGAAGGAGTAATCGATCCAAGTAAATGGGCCTCCACTTCGCTTCACCCACTGCCTTGCGGCTAGGCTCTTGTTAGAACTAAAGGCTTTGATTGAGAACCCTAATCGTTTTCCTGCTTAGTGGCTGGACACCCTAGCAGTACCCGTCCATCGTGGCAGTTGTTTACTTCTTCCTTTTAAATCCAGTGGTATATATATTTACTGTCTTCCAGCTAACTATTTTACCTATTTTACTGAGATAAAATATGTTCACTACCCATTCCATGAGCAAGCAGTAGGTTCACCTTTCTTACTGCTCACCACGCTCAGATGTGTAATAAAAATTCAAATCTTATTATACGCGCATAATGCTGCCTTCTCTCTGTCGGTCAATGTATCATACGGAAAGTGCCACTTGATGTTTCCTCGCTTTGTTTTATGCATATCGCTATGTATAAGGTCATTTGTATTTTGATTACAAATGCAGGGAGCGTTTATTCGTGACCTTTCATAAATGCACCTTTTCTGTTCCGTTTTCTGCGACAGTCGGAGCAGACGATAGCCTTCATCGAGTCGAGTCAGTTCGACCGGGTCCGCTGTTTTCTATAACTGTTCGTGAAAGAATACTGGAAAAGTTGTTACTATGGGTTGAAGCAGCACCGTCAAAAAGCAACGAGTTGCATTCCCGAATGCGGGATCAACAACGTGCACACTTGCTCAGCCTGTTTGAAACCTTAATGACTCAGTCCAGACAGAATGTGATCGCTGAGATCTCTGTGCTGCGTCCTCTTCTCCAATTCCTGTTCAAATTGTCGTCGCAGTTACGTCCAGCCTATAGCAAAGTTTACGGACGGACACTTTATGAGTTTTGTGTGCTCCTTTGCCGCGACTCTCTCTTTCTTGACCATTGTAGAAAAGTAAGTCACAAATTAAACAAACCGAAGTGCCACTTTTTTCTCTCTGTCTATCTGCCTCAATGTAAACTATAATTCAGAAAGACATTTTTCAGTGTAAAAAACCAACCTCTTCAATCTTGTTCGTTGGTGTATTTTTTGTAAGACAACCAATTATGAGTGAGAGTGCATTAGACTTGATATGCCGTGGATTTGTATGAATAGTTCATCAATGTATTTGGACAAACAGCTTCTCCGAAATTTAATCCGAAGGAAGATATCTTTCATATGGAACTTAAGGTTAACTTCAAGAACCACATCCATATCCTGTTTGGTGACCAAGCTAGTTAGCGCACTATTGAGATGCGTAGCCCAGACTAATACGGGCAGAAGAAAATGGATTGATAACCTATTTTGTGCAAAAGCAATTCATCTGTTGCATAGCAGTGCTTGCCGGAATCTCCTACAAGTTACCATTCCTATTCATGTTATCTATCACTGGTTACATCAACTATATATTGAGTTCTTTCATCAAACCGGTTTGCTCCGTTGAATAGTGGGTGTTGATATGCAATAGGAAATAAGTGATTACGTCAAGTGACCGAAAATACACAATGTGAATTAACAGTTTTATATTCGTAGTTAACTTTATTATGAGGAAAATAGTGTTGTAAACTCATATTATCTCCCCTTCAATCGCTTATTGAATTTCAATCCAAATTTACAAATAAGATCGACCTCATGATCATCACATGAATCTGCTCAAGCCCTAGCCATAAAGGCAACAAATCACCAATAGCCACAAACGGGAGAACTGCGCGACGGTTCACACCGGGTTACCCATATTTGATTCGGGCACTTAGCCTTGTAACTACCCCTTGCTTACTTGAATCCTGGATACAAAATTCGTATACCTTTTGCCATCTAAATGGGTCAATTTGAAGAGCATTCCTATATTATCGACACCATTCGACAGATTAATTCGTCGTGAATTTTTTCTAGCGCTTACGAAGGATCGATGCTGTTTCATGATTTGAGTATTTCCAAAGCTTCATAAAAATACGCTTTTTGTGAAATACTTACTATTTGATTGAACATATACTTCTACATTTTGCACAGTCAGGTACAAATTATTGAACCACAGAAATGTAATTAGTTGGAGAGAACTAAAACCATCCTATTGGACACAAAGGAATCCATATCACTCTTGCAGTTTACCGGAAACATAGTCAAATTATCGACGCATCTCGTTTTACTTAATCACCGGAGGTTAAGTAATGTCTTGCTTTTATACAGTATGATACTTTCCATGTGATCTCCGGTTGAGGACGTGATGCTCATGTAGAAATCGGGGTCACTCTACTCCCCCGCTCTCTCTTACTCCGGGCCCCATTCACCAAATACTTGTTGGTATTCCAGGTGATCCAAAATTAGGTAAATTCATTTGATTAAAATTAATGGTGGTCAGGTGATTTGTATCGGTGCCAGTGGCATGCTGTCAGCTTTGCTCGAAAGTCTCAGCTTTAAAACACTACCACAGCAACCCAACTATTGTGGCATTCAGCTTAACTTCAACACTGACAATGGTAAGACTCTCCGGGCTTCCTCACTTGGGGCGAAGAACGGTATGAATCCATGATTTTGATTCAAATATTAAGAAGAATTCTGCCTTGACACCAGCAAGCGTGGCTTGAACCCATTTAGACAGTACATCTGTTCTAAAACTTATCTATTGACTTAAAACTTTATTTTTCAGTCTTTTTCTCAAACGCATCTGTGTCATTGTAAGGGGTTGAGAGCAAGTGCGGGGCTAATACGACAACATAAAAATAGAGATCGTCTCTAAACAACGAAAATTTTCATCCTATGGGCTCCAACATGGAAATCGGGCCGCACCAACTGAAGACAACTCCGGAGCTAAGTTTTGTTTACCTCAACACCAGGTCCTGCTCTGACTGCCGCGACGCTTCTTCCAACCTAACACAGCACGCGCGAATAGAGTGCGGAGAGGCAGGCAAACAAACGCAGATACAGAGCTCTACCAGTGTTGTACAAGCGCTTTGCATTTGATTGATGTAATCACATACCATATCTGGATAACTTGATCACCAAGCGGTTCAAAACATGTCAGACTGCCTGTGTATTTTCATACAACAAAGCGGTATCATCGGCATGCTCTAAGTCAAGAACTTCGACCCTTTGGAGGAGTTCAACTTCACCGCTTGCTTAAGTAGACGAAGCAATCCGTAGAATATCCTCTGTGAATGCCCACTGGATTACATAAACAGCTTAACGCAAACCAACGCACGATCGTATTCGAGGGAGTGCTTTGGTATGATCAGCAGTCTTGTAAGAAATCCCACCATTTCTGGCTTGCGTCGCTTTAGTCGATCTGGGTCCTTCACTCAATTACAGAACGCTCCCAGGCGCCAAGAGGCGTATCAGCAGTTTGTATTGGTGAAGACGTGATTAGAGCCATGAGCCAACAGCGATTCCATGTTTTCCAAGCGACGGCAGTCTAATCCAAATGTCCTCCCGAATACTCCTGTTTCGGAAACAACTGACTTACTCTAGCCTTTTTATCTCATACTGAATTCTCGATATCAACCAACTTACTTTATTCAAGATGTCGTGTAGCTTTTGGCGTTCCTGTGGTCAACTTAACTTAATTACTGTTATTTTTGACACATCTGATTAGGTTGGAGGAGTAATCACCTATTATTAACTTCCATCCCTCTAGTTTTACAGAGGGAGTGGTTGATACCACTCGATTTAGATTCGCCCGACCAGAGTTGTACCAGCATGTTGACCTCAGTAAAGCTACACACTTCTGGACATTACCTTGTGCAGAGACAAGCTGTATCAAGCTTCATGGTTCAATTAATCAAGCGTCCCTTTCATATCAAAGAACGCTGCTATTATTGCCAACGGTGTGTGTGTGGCTTACCTTGACTCGACTTGATCTAACCGGAATTCTGCCCGCCTTTATTGCATATTCGTTTCTTTTACTAGCGTCATCCGGTGAGATATTACGTTGGTTCATTCCTTAGTACTTCTCAGAGTTCAACTTTTCTCTTAGTCGTTTCGTGATCCTTTCTTGAAAACGGAAATAATGAGTGGTTCATTCGTATGAGGAAAGGTCCTCCAGTTGAAATACGTTTCTTCTCATCGCTTGAATAAACTTCGTGCTTCTCGCTCTTTTGGGGCTTGATATCGCCTGTAGCGCTTCATCTGTAACCGCCGGAGTAGCCTGGCCGGCACTAGGCTCAGTGCAGTTCAGTTTTTACAACCATTAACCATGCACTTTCGTGCGCCGGTTTCGATTGCTGTCTTTTGGTGCCCCATTTGGATAAAAGAGCAGAAATATAGGAATGTTAAAAACAAATTCAAGCGGAAGACAGAGAATTCATATCGAATGGTGTTAGGGGAATAATGAGTGGATGCACGAGCGACATTCAACTATATCTATCAGTGTATCTAACCATCAGTGACCATCATCCCGAGGTTCCCAACCAGGGAGTCTAACGGGGCCTATGTGACCTAGTCTCCTGGTTAGGATTTTCATGCCCTCATGCCATGTCTTCGTTTAACCACCCTTGACCCTTTTCGAACTGCCACCTGCCTCGGAAAACATCATTCGCGTGGCAACCTATTTGGTGACATGCGTAAAACATGCCCCACCCAAAGTAATCTATCGAGGTCGATCACTTGCTCCAGTAAACGACCGCGACTGCCTAAAATACTACGCCTAAAATCAGCATTGCTTGTCCGGTTTCTCCACCGGACTCGTGCAATGCGACGTAGACAGCGGTGTTCGAACACCGACAATCCATTTTCATCC